TCTTTTCCCCCTTTCCTCTTTTCCCCCTTTCCTCTTTTTTCATTTTCTCTATTTTCTCTTTTTTTCTCTCGTTTCTCTTTTTTTTTATATTTTCTCTTTTTTCCTTCTCTTTTTCCCCTTCTTTTTTTTTCTCCTATTTTTTCCCCTTCTCTCTTTCTTTTCCTCTCTTTGTCTTCCTCTTTTTCTTTTGTTCTTTTCCCTCTCTAGGGTCTCACTGGCTTTCCTCCCTTCAGAACAAATCACAAGATGGTGAAAACACAGGAAACTTAAGAACTAGAAAAATAAAGTGTGGTAACTCCAGAAGTATGCACGAGAACCTTTCTTTTGGCCATGCAGACCTGCTGTACAGAAATAACCGCACTTGAAAAGATCAGTCAAATGCCAACACTGATTGCTTAAGTTCTGACATCATAGGAAATATATATCTACCTAATACACATTTTGTGGACAGAGTAAAAAGCAGTGTTTGGGTATAAATATAACGATTTGAGAGTGACTTGTTATGAATGTCATATTTTCATTAAAATTGAATGGCTTTATTAAAAAAATAGTGCAAAACACCCAGTTGTCACCAGTGACCATTTGCTGGTAGGTAAATAGTGAGTTTCCTGGTTCAGGCATCACTGTTTCTTTGCTGGGCACCCTGTGACTGGGGCATGACTAAGGCTGAGAAGGAACCAGAAGGTCCAAGTGATTCCTGCACCAGGATGGGAACCAGGACAGCTGGGGCACTGGCCCCGGATCAGGACCTCGCTGTGCAAACCTGTGTATACAGCAACATTAGGTGCGCAGGAAGACACAGCCCCTGCTCCGAGACCTTCCATGTAGGTGGATGGAGCTTCCAATGAGCTGCAGCCTGGGCAGGCTTGTGTGCCCAGACCAGGTTCAAACATCATGGTACAAAAAGTTCTCAATCCTGAGAGCAGATCGTAGTCTAGGACACACATATGGATAAACAGCCTTTGGGAACAGGCTTGTTCTGTGTTATTTTCAACTTATCATAAGAAAATCTTTTAAAGTTATGTTGCTAGACTAAACTTTGCTTAGAGGTGAATGATGACGGCAGAAAGTTACATGCTATATATTTTATCCGTACAAGAATGTTACAGTGCAAGATGCAGAATTTTCAAGGAAAAAAAGAAAAAAGAAGTAAGAATGCCATGTATGGTAAGCCCGACAGCCTGATAACTTTTTTCCCTTTTTTTTTTTTTTCCTTTTTTTTTTCTGCCTAATATGCAGGAGTGCTGCCCAAGGGAAAGGACAGCCAAGAATATCTGAAAATGGACTGTAGAAGAATGTAACCATGTATTTTTCTTTTTCATTGCAGTACTCTGTTTCTAATTATCAGCCAGCTGCTGAAGTGACTTCATTCAATAACTATTTTGATTTGATCCTGTCGTCCACTCTAGTTGCAGACTGTGAGTTCTCAAACGCCGATCATCTATGTAATTCAAAAGCAATATCAAATATTAGCCAGGTCCATTTTTTTTCCCCAGAAAGAGTACATTTACAGAAAGAATTTAAGAATTTGGTTTCACTTTTTCCAAGGGGAACTTTGTTTGCAGTAAAAGACAAAAGATTGTTATATGGTGCAACCTTTCTTCATAACCATGTTTGCTTACTTTTTATTCAGCATATCAGTGCTGATTATTGTTAAAAGCAAACGCTTTGTCTTTCAGATACACAAGAAACCTTGTGGACAGTGGAAATGGAAAGTTCAACTTGATGATCTTGTGCTGGGGTGAAGGGCATGGCAGGTTTGTACCCAAAGATCATGGTTTGACCAAACACATACAAAGTTACAGTATCTTTTGCTTGGAATAGTCACATAAAAAGCCAAAAATGGCCTAATTGAACTATTAGAAAACATCAGGCAATTAGGCAGTATAGATCTCCTCCTTATTCCATTGTCAGTCCTAAATATTTCCTTTTTTTCTTTTTTTAAGTTCATACACTTTTCAGAACTTAAAATATTAAGGTCTTCTACCAAATCAATGCTTCCTCCTGTCTGTAGAAGTTGTTATTCTCAGAGATATAGTGAGTCCTACGACATTGAATGGATCCTGTTGCTTTCGAGAAATCTTTATGCTTTATGCTGCAGAAGCAGGACTTGGTGCAGTTTAAATAGTTTGGTTTTTTTTTCATGCTATTTACACCTAGTGCTTGCATCCAACAAGGCATAGAGAAAAGTATGTTTGGAGTAGCAGTGTGGGGTTCAAGGAGGGAGCCCCAGTCCATTGCCCTATGGCTTTGTAGTTTCCAGACATCCCAGCGCTTCCCTCAGAAGGGACCAAAAGTGAGGGCAGGATCTGTCCCTTGGAGACGAAATATGGAAACAAAATACGGAACAATAAAACTGACTGTCCTTGCACATAAAGAGAACCATCCCCCCAAAGCTGGGCATTGTTTTTGTTTCTGATTGAGCATACACATTGAACACTTACAATATTCTCCTGGGAATACCATGCAGTAATATCCAGAAAGATGTAAGAATCAAACCCAGCTCTTCTACTCTTCCTAGGCTTTTCCCACAAGGGCTGTAATTCATATCAAACTGTATTTGGGTTGGAAGAGCATTTGCTAGGAATGAGCATTTGCTAGGAACTAGGCTCAGACCACAGCTTGGTTTCGCTTCCTGCATGAGGAGGATCAAGTTGTTCTCATAGCTTGTACAACGAGCTTGAATGACTGCATGGCATTTGTGAACTGCTCTGTGCCTGAAGCAAGTCGTGCTGTCTTGGCATCTCAGCTTGAAAGCAAATGACATTTGTTTATTGAAAACAGCAATGTGCAAGTACCACATTTTTGATGGAAACTCATTAGCCCTCTACTTCAGAGAGGGCCGAGTTCCCCCTTCCCCAGCCATAAGTGGAGAGCTCTCCCTTTGTCCTAATCCCACCACATTCTCTAACAGCTAAAAACAATAAATAAATAAAAAAACTGCCCTGAAATGCACATCCACCACCTATGCCTCTACATATTATGCCTGAACAATTAAAACATACTTCCAAATAAGCGGATAGATCAAGCAAGCAGACAGATGATGCCGGCTCCTGTTGCTGTTCGCAATTTGCCCATGTGGGATTCTTTTTGCTGTAGCCTGTTATACTTAGCACTGTTAGAGTGGCAAAGGCAGCAATTTCTTTCTTCAGAAAACCCTTATGCCTCTTAACAGTAGAGAGGCTCTAGAAATGAAGAAGGAGCTCTTTTTTCCATGTTTAGGAAGCGAGTGCTATGGATCTGCAAATATAGCTGGTCTATATATAAATCTACACTGGCCCCTGATACAAATACAGGATGATAAGAAATTCTAAGAAACACCAACTCTGTGGGCTAAGAAATGCTTTTGTTTCTTAGCCCACAGAGTTTGTGTGCATTGGAAAGCTTTCCTGTCGTCCATTCTCTTCCAGATTTGCTTTGTTTTTCTCTCTGGCAAGGTCATATGCTGACAGATATCTGATATATGCATATATATATTCTTTCCCCCAAGTGCTGATAAAAATAAGCTTATCCTAACACATTTCTAATATAGTTTTTTGTACGTCATGGAGAATGCATGTTTCTAAGACTTTTTGTCTGTGCGTATGTGCATGACAAGTGTGCAATAGCGTTTCATTCTAGGACTATGTCCAAGTACAATATGCTATGCCATCTGCTTGCTGCATTTAAATTTAGTATTTATTATCACACTGAGTTTGATTATTCTTTTCACTAATATAGCAGTATCCATGATCACACTGATTCACACTGCTTTATGAAGATACTCCAAGGAAATCTAAAGGAAACCTTGTTTGAATGGCCTGAGAAAAAAGGAAATGGTGAAATGGTTAAGAAATCAGAACGAGTTCTGAGAGAAAATCAATGTGCCTATATTAACGGTAAGCTCTTAGAGTATCTTATTTGACAGCTACCCACCCATGAATCTGGCTCCTAATGGGGCAGTTTATGTGCTGGCTTGACTCTTACATTTAGCAGTGTTATATGGTTTACACATTTGAACAACTTGGCTACAAACCTGTATTTAGATTCAGTAAAACAAACTTCCTCCTTTTAATTCATTATTAAGATATTGCAGTATTTAACTTTGTTGCAGCAATTGCCTGGTATTTAAAGATGCTGGGTAACTTTACTACAATAAGCAGTTTTCAGCATTGTGTCCCAAATAACTGTCTGCAACTGCATGTAAACATAAAGCTTAAATTGTATTCTGTGAAAAACAAGAGCAATAAAGTTCAATTTTTTATTCATTATGACATTTCTTCACAAATAAATAATCCTTGTGATCTGTCATGGAAATCTTAGGGCAAAAACATAGAAGTATTTGTCCATGGAATAAACCATGCCCCCACAGTGAGGGGCATGAGGCAAAGGCACAAAGCTGTTCTACAGCCCTTTACAACAGGGCTGCCACATTAACTGAAAACACAGAAATCATAGATTCAGAATGCTTCACTCAGTAATCTGGGTTTATCGGAATTTCCCTTTAAATAAGCATACCTTTAGGGCTTTTTTTCCTTCCCATACCTTTTGTTTAGCTAGATTGTGTTAATGACACTTGAGGCTTACACTCTTAACTCTAATACATTTGAAGTGTGCTTGCAGTACCCAGGACATTGTGCCTACATTGCATAATAAAGGTCTGAGTATTATATGACATATTAATTTGAGTGCAAAGGCCTGAGTTACTTTCTTACAGAAGAAGTCATAAACTTGAAATCAACATCTCTTAAATAACTCAAGAAATCATTTTAATGTAGAAGGAAAATTGCTGCTTTTATTTTATTACATTTTTATATAATACATTGACTTCTACTCCATTGTCCAGAAAACACCATTACTTCATTAATAGCCACAAAGCAGTTTCTTATTACATGTTCAACTATACTTACTGTTCAGTTAATACTGGAAGTGTGCCAGTCACCAGTTATTTGTCACCTTAGACAAAAGACTGGACAAAGAAAAAGACTGTTCTACTCCAAACTAAAAACATGGAAAGATTAATTAGGAAATTGATGTCTGCAATAGAAGACAAGTATATCTCTGCCTAAGTACACGCTCCAAATAAAAGTAACTGACTGTTAATGTGACTGATGTCTTTATTACTGGGTGAGATTTAGCAATACAAAAAGTCTCCCTGTAAACCTTCCTGCTGATTTTCAGAAACACAAATCTTCTTGCTTCTACAGAACAACAGTATCTCCTAGGAGAGTAAACCTTATGCTCATTTAGGAATGGCAGCTGGCCGATTGCTGACCACATAGCCCTCTTTAAGCTTCTTTGGATTTCTTTTGGCCTTTATCCAAAGTAGATAATCCAGCAATTTACAAGTGTTGAAGGTGATAAGATATTCTGAAGTACGAATATATTTAGAAATTGTGCTAGAGAGCAGCGTTTTAATTTGCCCCTCACAGTACAGGTGACTGACTGACTTCTGCTGAAGTTTCAGCTTAGATGGCAGTCTTCCAGGTATTTATGAGCTCTCATTAAAGCTGCTTGTTAATATGACCTTCCATTTCATGCCCTCTCCTTTCCAGACTCCATTGGCTTGCACCGTGTGGAGAACATAAGCCACACAGAGTCTGCTGTTAGCTTGCATTTGTACAGCCCACCCTTTGACAGCTGTAACACCTTTGATCAAAGGACTGGACACAAGCACAAAGTCAAAATGACCTTCTATAGCAAGTTTGGTGAAAGGACTCTATGTGTAAGTATGGCATAATAGCTTCCCTGGCAGGTCTTCAACACCAAGCGCTTGTCCTTGTGCAGGGACAGCACGGGGGGATGCGCTTGTGTCTGCACAGAGCAGACGCTGCCTCTTGCAGGGCTCTACAGGATAGACAGCACTTGCAATCTCACCGTTCCTGGGGCATCTGTATCTAGGGTCAGCATAAGATGTTTTTCAGAAATACTCTTCCGTTTGTCAATTTGTGCTTTATCTTCCCTCTTTTGTAAGAAAGTGCAATAATGCAACCACACATTTTATAAAAATAAGAAAACTGAAGCTGAGAACTTACCACCCATTAGTGATGATGGATTTGGCTGCCCAGCTCTACTCACCAGTCCTTCCCCTTCCCCTGTGGATGGTGTCCAGTTGTGTAAGGAGTGGAAGAGTCTAGCTCCCGTTTATCAGATGGAGAGTTAATTCTGAGCAGAGGATTAATGAATACTTTGCTGTAGTTAACCATCTTCAGACAGTAAATATAACCCAGTGAATGGAAAGCTGTTACGCAGCTAGTTCATTTTAGCCAATTTCAGTCATGTGTAACATTCCCTACCTAAATTGTTCTGCCAAAAAGCATCACATTTCAAGTCAGCCGTTTTAAACCCTGTAACGTACTGGAAGTGGAGCCAGATAAGCACTCAGACTTCTTAAAATCAAAGCTTCTAAATGGAAATGCTTGCTCTGAGAGAGAGTAGACTGGCTGACTGTTGTCTGCATTCCAGAGCAATGTCAAGAAATTGGGTTTGGGTAGAAAGGAAAGCTTAAAAGGGTTTTGAAGGACCGAGCAGATTTACATCTGGCAGGGTTTGATAGTGTTCCCTTTTAGCACTTTTCTGTGGGTTGGAAAATGCAATCACATACTAGGGGAGAAAAGACAGATTTTTGTTCGGTCAGCTACAGAGGTTCAAAGACTGTTTTTGTGAGATCCAGAACACTTTCACCTTTCACTGAGGCCAGAAATCAGAGAGTGAGCCCTTAGTAAGATCCAGCTAAAGATTTATATAATGATCAAGCCCAAAGTATTTCTCTGCAGCTTGTCACATTAAATGATTACAACTCTACTAAGCAGTTGAAACAGAACTTGAACCGTCACAAGTTCAAAAGGTCTTTGAGAAAATATACTAAAATTTGTCATTCAGATTTTAAAGGAAAATGAACATAGAAAAACAAAATTCACAAAAGAACTCAATAGTTTCTTGTTTTCTTTTCATTCTAAGTGTTTATTGAAAATGAAGTGTGTACGATAACAAGTGAAACTAGATACTTTAACTTGGCCTGTATTCCTACTCTTGATTTGTGACCAACTGGCAATGTCTGTACCTTTTGTGGGAAATGGGATCTGGCTTACAGGAGAGAGGTAAATCTTAATCACTGGGACTCTTTCATGAATTCCTATAAATGGAATTCCAGTAAGGGAAGAGTCGTAGCTAGTCTGGGCCATCCAACTGCCTGAAATGACTTCATGCTGCAAAAACCTTCTGGTTTCAATGAGAGTTTCTGGAAAGCTCCCTGAAAACTCAAGCCTTCCTCTGTTTACCAGATCTTGAAAGAACATAGGAAGGCAGAGTGTTACAAGAAAATGCAGGGCATGTGTGTTATAAGAAAATGCAGGGCAAAGCATACTTGTATATTTCATTGGTAAGAAGATTATTAAAACACATTCAGTGCTTCCCATTTGTCTGATGTTTTCCCTGTAGGTAAAACACTCAGATAAATCCCTAGTGCTTATGTTAAAGTCTTAATTAACTAAAGAGTAAATAAGCACAAGTACTTAGTTAACTTACCAAAGACTTGCTCAAGAAAGAGATTGTTTCCATAGTTCAGGTGTGAACCATAAAAACAGAAATGTGAAAGTTCACTGAGGAAAACTTCATATTGTGTCCCACCTTAAGTTGGGACACAGTCAGAGCTTAAGTCAGAGCTTATCAGAAGTTTTTACTATCAGAAAATGTCCTAGGCTGGGTTATTTCTTTGCAACCCGTATTTCAAACCGGAGTTGCAGTTTCAGTCAGAACGAAATGCAGCATTTATACAGCATCTATACAGCCCAAAGTTGCCAAGGGAAACCATTCCTCAATTGTCTTTTCCTGCCCGTGGTCTCAGAAAGACACAATGGATAGGGAAGATAATTTTGTCAGGCACTGTGCTATCTGGGACATAGTATCCTCTATAAAATGTGGATAGTAACTTTTTATCTTGCAAGGAGTATTGTAAAGAAATACATTAAATATTTTGAGGTGCTGAGCTACCCTGGTATTGTTAAGGACTATGTTAAGAACATGAAGCTGATCACAGCGTACTACTAAGGCCCTTTGCTTAAAAAAAATCTCTCCTCTTTCTTTTTTAGGCAACAGCAGTGCCACAGGAGAACAACTGAGAAGCACCAGCATGTGCTTAGCTTAAGACCTACTGAATGTTTAACCAGGGACAGAAGACTTATATGGCTAAGACTGATGGCCAGCTATATTTCTATAAGTTGTTCATAGAACTACAGTAGGGCAGCTTCCAGGCAACCTGTAGTTACCTTGAATGAATGCTGATTATGGGACACTACGCTAACTAGTGTCATAAACTACTTCAGAGGTTAGATGCCTTTTCTTAAGCTACTGGCAAGTCAGAATTAAGTAACTTGTTTTCTGATTCTAGCCTCCTTTTAATTTCACTTTTGATATCATACTGAGAATATCAAATATTGGGGATTTAAGCATTATCTGACACTACTTAATAGGCCTATGTGTATGTATGCTCTCAATGTAATTAATAATATAAACTTTTAAGCTTCTAGTCACTTGTACCTTGGGTAGTATAATGGATACTACTAACAGCAGCTCTTTTTTATTTTTTTTATTAAGTCTTCTTGGTTTTAATGCCATAGGCCATTTTGATAGTTTTTGTGCATTTTTTACTTTTTTTAAAAAAATTTGTTTGTCAAATCATGTTTTAAATAGGAGCAATAAAGTACTTCAAGTATGATGATTTTCAAGAATAATTGAGCAAAGATTTGTAATAAGGCTAATCATACTTAATACAACTAGTGTCCAGTTTCCAAAGTACTCTGTATAGTTACTGAACTCCTTTCAGGTAACTACAATAAAACTGGATATGTGCACATAACTCAAAAGTCTGCAGCCTTTATCTCCTGGTAGCTAAGATAGTCATCACACTTGACTAATTTACACATTATTCACTAAGTGGTATACCACTTGAGAGTTTGAAAAGTCAAAGGTATTTAAGACATCTAAAGAAACTCCTATCACAATGCAGTCAGTGTGTGTTTTGCCAGTGGGTCCAAAAAAACCCTTGTTTATCTTTTGAGGTCCTATTTTTGGGAGGCTCTATAACATTTTTTCAAAAGAAAAGAACATTTAAGCAGTATAACAATTGTAAATGAATTGCAATCACCCTAGAGCTAACGGGAAAGCTGTTGTTGCCATAGAAATACTCTTTTTGGGGGCAGTGGATTATCTCCACTTAGTGGGAGTTTTGCCAGGAGGCAAAAGCACATCAGCAGTAAATGGAGAACGTCTGTATGGGGTAGACTTCGATACTGTCACAGAGAGGGGTGAAGTGAGCAGCAAGTGCAAAAACTGAAAGGGAGAGAAACATGAAGAGCAATAACTAGTGCTAACACAAAGAAGACTCTCTGCTTTTCCGAACAGTAGTTTACCTTGAAGTTCAGTATGTTTCTCCATAGTTCACTGTGAACCAGTTTCCTGAAAAGTCTCCTCAAGACAGATACTGGGCTTGAGCATCTTAATCAGTACTCAAATTGTTGTGAAACGATCACAGAACAGTTGAGGTTGGAAGGGACCTTTGGATATCATCTGGTCCAACACCCATGTTCAAAGCTGGGTCACCTAGAACATGTTGTTGCTCAGGATAATCCAGTTTTGAATATCTCCAAGGGTGGAGAAATCCATTTAGACGACTTGTTTCAATATTTGATCACTTCATGGTAAGAAAAAAAAATCTTATGTTAAAATGGAATTTATTGTGCCCATTGCCTCTTTTCTTCCTCCAATTCTAGCTGGAAATGAGCAGTTTCACTGAGCCACAACATACAATATATTCATTTTTTTTCCCCACTAAGTGAAATGAAAAGGCTCCTTTGCACAGAGCATAAGGTGACTTGGGCAGGGGGGTTCTGGAAAGCCCAGAGACATCCAAGCAGCACAACAGCAATGACAGTGACAGCTAGGCATTGCTATTGAGCTCCATTGGTCTAGTGACTTCGACAAGTATTCCAGCTAGCCTCACATGTTCCTGGTGAGTGAGGCAGAGGAAACAGGAGCAGAAGGCATAGCAATCGTGTACCTAAGCCCATCCAAACACTGACAAACATGGTAAGCATGGCATCGTACATTGCACAAAATAGTAGAAGAATTTCAGTGTTTCAGAAGAAGGTATTTGCTAGGTATTTTTAACCAACTTATCAAGACATAGAAAGTAACACATACAACATGAGGCACTAATACAAGAAACCTGTAGAGCAGCGATGAATTTGGTCCAGAGTCCTTACAACACATACTACCTTCTTTGTGACCTAAGCACCAGCTGTGAATTTTATGCTCTATAGGGCACACTAAAGCATGAAGCATGAAGCTAATATCCATCCAAAGCAATATTTAACCAACAAATAGCAAGTGACAGAATGATAAACAGTCACCTTTTCACTAGCACTAACTTGTCCACATAAACTGTGTTGTCTTAAAACAGAAACCTGTAACAACACAATAGCACCTGCACATTATTGTGACTGAACAAGCAATGTATTGAGCCTTCCAGCGTGTGAGAGCACATGACCCTCAGATGTGACCCCCTAGCTAACAGGCTGATGAGGCAGCAATATCCTGCAGTCTGATAATTGCCTTTCACTGGCCTAGGAACAGGTTTAGCGTTTCAGATGCTCTTAACAGGTAAGTGCTCTGAAATAAGGTCTTGCTAATGTCAACAGAGAAGAACAAGTGATCCATTATCTCGGTTATCCCTCAGATCCTTAGCTTGAAAAATATTGTAGAAGTTGCTAAATTGCTTAGGCTAGCAACACTAAGAAAAACTCATGTTGGTGAACTGTCTAAGTGAAAAAGCTTCCGTGCCTCTAATGGGATGAAGTACAAGGATGAGAAGAAGAAGAAAAGTTAGTCATCATTTTCTTTTTTTAACATGGGGAGCTCTGTAGCACATGAGGGCTATGATCACAAAGGCTTGGGAAAGGCATTGTGAGGCTTTCTGCTCTGTGGAACTAACACGTGAGCAGCTTTCTCTGCCCCCAAGGAGAAGTGTGGGGCCCTTGAAGCTCTAACAGAGAATGTTTCTGGGAGAGGGTCTATTGCCAAGTAAACCCAGTTTTTTTATCTTCTTATAAAAAAAATGATTCTAGATTTTTTTTCCCTCTTTCTACAGATTTTCCGAGTTAACAGATTAGTCCTATTTATTTTATACTGAAATACTTACAGATCTCTTGACAGTTGATGACTGCTATTCCCATATCCTTCCCGCGCTGACAGAGGACACACCAGAGTCAAAATTCACTCTATATGTAACTGCTTCCATTACAAAATCCTCTTCCTAAAGCACAAAAGATACAAAATGTGCTGTTCAGTTGCTAATCCTTATAGCTATTTTTTACACTCCTCTCATGCTCAAGAGAAAGCTATGTTGCAAGAATACAGCCTTCCCAGGGTTAAAAGAGGTAGCTTACCTACAGTGACTCTAATGTTTGCAAAGACAAGCAGAACAATTTGAAGCTCAATGTTCTTCAACCATTTATATTTTTTGCTCCTTCTATTTTATCTCGTGAAAGTGCTGTTGTTGAATATTAGATAATCAATATACATGTCACTTTTCTTTATAAATTTGGCAAGCTTAAAATGTGTTTGAGAACCCTAATTCATCACCAGTCCACCCTTAACCAAGCTCTTTGTTCTACTGGCTAACTTGAGAGCTGTGTTACTGTACTGGACCATAGGTGCCTTTATTTAAGGGCTAAACCACAGGCATGTTCAATAGTCTATGCCTCTCGTGACCTTAGAGGAGACAAAACTACCATGGCCTAACTGTGCAGTCCTCCAAGACTAGTTTTACCCCTGTAGCTCATGTGAATCTTTATCCAAGAGGTAGAACTCATATCTTTGACTCTTGTGAGTGCATCAAGCTAGATTGTATTTCTTCAGTGATGGATGATCACTGAAGGTGGGATAGCCAAATCCTTCTAAACTAATTACCAATTCTTGCACAAAGGAAGGAACTAAAGGAGAAAACAAACAATCAAACAAAAAATCTAAAAGAATAACAAAACATCTTTCTTCTTTTCCAGGCCCCATTCTTCTTTGCTTTTGCTTTCCAACCCATTAGAAAACTCTTGTATAGACAAATAAGTATATAATTTTCTTTTAAAGACTGTTTTTTCAACATCTGAGGTGTGTCTCCTTACTGTCTTGATGCAGGATAAGAGGAAGACATGCTGTTACTCTATCTCAGTTTACTTCCCAATATATTTATTTTTCCTGAACTACAAAGACAAAATGTATATGCTATTTATGGGCTTTTGTTATAGTTCATTTAGAACTATATTTTCCAAGGATTTGTGCTCTCCCAAGTTTAGGCAGAGCTAGCTGGCTAACCTGTGAACAGAGGTGGTGCAGCGTATTTAACAACACAACAAACTGAAAAAAAAGTAGATTAATGCATTTCCTAGAGGATGATTTTTTTTAGTCTGCTTCTCTAATTCCTCAGGATTAGAGAAATAACATAAAAGGCTTGTGTGGCACTATATCTCGCTGGTGTCCCTGAGATCCATGTAAGTCACCAAGCTACCCTAAGTGTGTTCACTGACTAGGAAAGGGCTTCTGCTGGGAAATCAGCCGCACCTCCCTTCCTGGCCCCATGCAGTGCTCAAACTCACATCCTCAGTATCTCTGCTTTTATTTGCGAGGGGAGTATGGGACAGGCCCCTTCCCCCCGGCGCAAGTCTTGTTAGTTTCTTAAATGACTGTATGAACGCCAAGTGCCTGGTTTTTGTGGGTAAATCGTTGTCTCAGGACATTCGGAGAGCAGAAGGCATTTTTCTCCCTGGCTGACAAAGATGCCCCTGGGACACACCACATGTCAAATAAACACGCTGAAACACATTTCTTCTCCTGCTTCAGTCTGCAAGCAGAAGAAATTGCCCTTAACTAAATTACAATGCATCTGCGTGGGTCCTTGCAAAGACCTTCAGCCAGTCACTCACTCACAGGACTGGACTGATGCTCCATGCTCTTCCCTGCATGAGCAAAGGCCATGCAGAGAGGTAGGAAAACTCTTGAGTTTGTCCGTTGTAACTAGGGCTTTAAAGACACTTGGGACTGCTAGAATAAAGACATTCATTGAACATATTCATAAGAGATGAAAACAGATTTAAGAAAGCAGCTTCAAGGAAAACATACAAAATAGCCCTATTTAAACTTAGAGGCTAGAGGAAGCCGCTATGCAGCTCTTGCATCCAGACCTTGACCCAAAGCAGGCTGGAAAAAAAGTGCTGACATCAGCTGCCTATGATATTTCACTTCCACTGGGACAATGGTTTTTACTTTAAGCATTTTGTTGTGAATCGATGTTTAACAGCAGTTACATTTTTTACCCTCAACTTCAGACTGGGTGGCCCTCACTAGTTGTGGCTACTTACAGAGGGAAAAGAGAGTTCCTCACTGCTTAAGAAAAGCCTTAAAGGCAGTGTTTCGTGTCAGGAGTATCAAGAACTACAGTCTCTGAACAAAGGGCAAGTGTGAGAGAAAAACCTCTTCCTGGACCATTGCATTATTTAAAATGAGTAGTTCACCTCTCTATTTTCATGCTTCACTTCATAGCCTTGTTGCAACATAAACTCAGATTAAGAAAG